AGGCCAGGCCAAGGAAGCTCTTCAGTTGTCGTTGGACTGTGGGTGTGGGCCAGTCTCTCACTGCCTGCACTTTCCCTTCCAGTGTGCTGATGCCTTCTTTCCCCAGCCTGTGACCCAAAAACTCCACCTCTTTCCTCATGAAGCAACACTTTTGTGGGTGTAATTTCAGGCCCGCCGCAGACACTCTCTGCAGCACCAGCCTCAGCGACTCCAACGCCGTTTTGAAGGAGCTCCCGTGGGCCAGGATGTCGTCCAAATACACCAGACATCTCTGACGGGGAATGCCAGCCAGCCGGTCCATGAGTCTTTCAAAGGTGGCCGGGGCGTTGCACAGGCCAAAGCTGAGGAGCCGGAACTGCCACAACCCCCTGTCCATACAGAAGGCCGTCTTTGGTCTCGCTTCAGGGCTGAGTGGCACCTGCCAGTATCCGCTTCGCAGGTCGAGTGAAGAGAACCAGGAGGAGCCAGACACTAAGTCCAGTGACTCATCGACCCTGGGCAATGGATATGCGTCCTCCTTGGTTACACTGTTCAGCGGTCTGCAGTCCACGCAGAATCTCATCTTGGGGTTCTTTTTTTTCGACACCATCACCAGCCCCGAGGCCCATGGACTGTCTGACGGTTCGATAATGCCAGCTTTTTGCAGCTCTTCCGCTGCTCTGTCTGCAGCCTCACGGTGAGCCATGGGGAGGCGCCGGGGACGCGTCTTGATGGGTTGTGCATCCCCCGTGTCTATTTCGTGTTGCATCAGGTGTGTCAGGCCCACTTCGTCTTCTGATGCAAAAATGTTTGTAGATAGTCAGATAACACCTCCCAGAGCTCCTACGGCTGCCATTGCTCCAACTTGTCACAATTCTGTCTCCATATCTCCCTCACCGCAGCCAGCCTGTCCGTCCCCTCCACCGTAGTCACGTCGGCTGGGTGAGGTGAGCCGGAATGTGCCGAGCTGGGCTGGACGTTGCTGGGGGCATGAGGCACCAGAGGCAGGGCACTGCGGACTTGGGAGTTGCCGCTCTCGTCTGGGGTCTTTGTGCCATGGCAGTGTGTCTCCACGGCTGTCCTGACCAGGGGGCGTGGCTTTGAGGACCATGTAGGTGGTATCATTCTGGTCAATGTGTTCTCTCCTAGATCCAGCAGGCAGCACGCAGACCTCAAAAAGTCCAGCCCCAGTATACATGGGTCCTGCACCAGCGCCACCCACACTGTAAAATTTGTCGCCCAACCACCCACATTCAACGTCACCTTCCCCCTACCAAGCATAGGAGCCAGCTCACCAGTCACTGTCCTCAGCTGCACTGTAGTCTGCTCCAACTGCGTCCCCTCTGGAACCAACTCTGCCCGCATCAGTGTCGCTGTTGAGCCCGTGTCCACAAGGGCGGTACATGAGGCCCCACATATCTTGACAGGGACGTGGCCGAAATTCCCAGCATGAGTCCAGCCCACCACCATCGTGGACTCTCATCTGTTTCAGGGGGGAGTGGAGCCCCTCTCCCCCGTCTGTGCTGTTTGGGTCCCCCTCCTCCTGACGATGCGTCATGGGACATAGTGCCAGGGGTCCGTACCGTCCCAACTATACGGGCCCCGGTCCGTTTCCCTGGTTGTCGGAATGCTTGGGGCACTGTCTGAGGAGATGGACAGGCTGTCCGCATCCATCTTCTGGGCTGAGCAGTAACAGGCACGCTAGTGCATCATCTGTGAGGCATAAGGCCAACTGTAGCGCTCTATCGTCCTCTGACCAGATGCCTGTGATAGCAGTTTGAATCTTACCGGAGTACTTTGGTGTTTTACATGGGGCCCGGTAAGCATTGGTACCGTCATTTTGCCATACCTGCTGCGTGTTGACTCCGCTGTAATGCCGTTGTGGAACCGACGTGCGAGTGAGGACGCCTTCCTCACGCCCCCCGCTCTGACAGGGGTCAGCAGAGCCCATTCCCGCGTCGTTGGCCATGCTCCTCGCCGCCAGCTTCAAGAGGGCTTTGGTCTCCGCAGCGCGCTCAAACTCTGCCGCCAGACCCTCTGGCATAACCGTAGCTCACCTCTTCCTCCTAAACTCTTGGCCGTGCTCCTTTCTCGTGCGGCATGTCCATCGACCGTACACACAGCGGCTCCGCTCGGCAAGCCCGCTAGCCGGCTAGGCTAACGCCGGAGAAGCAACCAGTCCGTCACTTTTAGACTTCTGACACCAGTGTAACGCTCACCCCAGTGCTGCAGCGTAAATAAGGAGGCGATGACTGGCTTGCAACTTTGGTGCATTTATTTAGGTAACTCAGCATAATAACAACTGTAACTACCTCCTACTTTATTGTTCTGTAAAGCGTTCTGAGCATGCAGTAAATATAAAGTAAGCGCGTGAGGGTGGACATTGAGAACGGGGCCGGCAGTGTTCTCCAAACAATGATGTTCATAAGATCAGCGCTTCAGTCTGACACTCAATGTAAGGTTCACGGTGATCATCACAGATCACTAAACTTCAGGGAGAAAGCAGGAGATGCGCTCGGTTGATCCATTGTCCTTGTCGAGAATAATAAGCACGTATACGGTCCCATAGAAATGTGCGAGGGCATTTGATAAAGAAACTTCAGTTCTTGACAGTTATCACTTACTTAGTTGTAAGCAGTGTGTTTTTTGTGTGTTTGTGAGCAAAAGGGACATATTGTGCCTCCTATATTGTTTTCCCCCAGAAAGAGCCACCCTTTGCTCATCCTTTTTGCAGCAGTCCTGGAGTAAGAAGTAGCACCTCAGAAACACCGAAGCTTCCCACCGCAGTAACCATCAAACCCCACGTGTCCTCCGTGACGTACACAGGAATGTAGAAGGCGAACACCGGTTCAATTCCATGAAAAAAGAGTTTGTACTGTATTGTGTGTTTGTGGTGGAAATACGCCACCTGCTGCGTCCACAGCTCCGTGACACTTCAATCAAAAAACCTCAGGTTTACAGGTGGAAAAACGTCACATACGGGGTGATCTCCAGAGTGAAGACAGGCCTTAATAGGGATTGAATAAATATTACTCCATGTATTATATTTGTATTACAAATATGTTGAGACATATCTACATTCTGCAGGTAAAATTAAGTTTAGAATGTAAGGCATTGATTGATACGTGCTTCAATTAAAACGTTATACCAACAGTATTTGTGAGACCATATTAATTCAGTTATGCTTCATCTGCTTATGAAATCGAAAGATTCTCTGCAGTGACCGAGTCAATGTGCAGTAATTCCACAAGGGGGCGTCATTGCACAACCTTAGGCCCATCTGCTTATTGGTCAGTCAGTATTTTAATAAAAGATGTAGCTGAAGTATAATAAATTAAAAGTACTGGCGGCCAATTAAAAAGGTGTTTTTAATGATGTATTCAAGTGCAACTAGCATTTTACTGTTGACAGTCACGGTGGAACTTTACTTAATGTATTATCAGCTCTACAAGAGCAAAAAGCCTCAAGCCTCGACCTTATGAAGGTTTGTGGCTTGATCAGATCCTAAAAAGCCTATTTTCCTTAAACTTAGAAAAAACTCACTCCGTTGATGAACTTTGACGATCTAAAAAAACAAATGTAGCTCGAAGTAAGATAAGGCTTATTAACTTTGACAAATTGTCTTTTCATCATAACTTAAAAGGTAATCACATTATGTATGAAACATCTAAAGTAATTAAGAGTTTAAAAGTACAATATTCCCTCTCAAATGTAGTGGGCGAGAGGTGTTAAGTCAAAATGTAAACAAGGAAGTAAACCATAAGCACCTCAAAAGGACAGTGTTTCTACTGAATTGTATATAGTTCATTTGCTTTAGCTGTGGTCCGATGCATTAGTTCAAGCAGCAAAGGTCGGTCCTGCTATTAACCTGATCTTCAGGCCTAGTTCTGTAGATTTTACTTGTGTGATCATGTAATGTGATGACTAGCCGACATGCTCCACTTGCTATCAGAGAACAGACTACACAAAACACAGAAATCCTGTTTTTGATATTTTAATAGAAACTATAATTGTGAACACTAGAAGTTATATATATCTATATAGATATATGTTGACTATTACATTGTTTGGAATTTGGGGGTTATCATGCTTTAAAAAAAAAAAAAAAAAAAAAAAAAAAAACATGTGACACTCCTTTTAAGACATTTAAGTAGTGTTGTTTCCTCATATTTTAGGGAGGCAAGAGATGTGAAAGTGATAAAGGAGCAGAATAAAAAAAGAAAACAAACAAAACTAGAAACGACTTGGCACAACTCAGCGCCACTTTTCATAATTGAACATTTTAAAGACACACGTCGCCCCTTTTTTAAAAACTTTATTTGTCATGTGTGGAATCAAACACTGTACCTCTCAGCTGTCAACGAGTTAAACAAAAAAAGCCCCTTAAATCAAAACATTTCAACAAGAGGCAAAGACCGTTTAAAAGGAGGCTGCAGTTAAGTTGAGCACAAACACACAACAAAGTCCAGCATTTCCAGACGATTGGAGGATGAAAAAGCATCGATTTCAGCATTTATTTTCATCTTTTGAAGATTGCTTCTCTCGCACCGTACGACCACACGCTCAAAGTGACTCGGCTGCTACAGCAGTGCCTTTTCTTCACTAAATGCTCCTCAAAACCCAGCACGGTGTCAGGTAGCTGGTTATGACATCAACAACGTCCCCGGTGACTGTCTGTGCGCTCGCCATTCACCTGCTGAATATCTGAGTAGTGTACCTTTGGCGATAGCAGATTTCAGAGTTGTTGAACCGTACATTAATACCTCAGTCCCCCACATAACGTGATTAACATCACTACAAATACAAAAAAAATATCCTGGTAGGGGCCCCTGGATGCAGTGTGTTTCGATGAGTTTTGCTTCCATCGCAACTATTTGAAGAAATTAGTTTAAGTAGTTTGTTAAAAAAATAATAATTAAATTGAAATAGTGTCTACATTAGCCTTGATCAGTAACTAGATCTAAAACTCACCAAAAAAAAAAAAAAAAAAAAAAAAAAAAAAAAAAAAAAAAAAGGACTTCTTGATTTTCTGTATGATTTATTCCTTTTAATCTCATCCTACTTGTGCATCTAAAATTAAATTAGGTTAGAACTCAAATAAAACCTTTAAAAAACATGTTAAAACACTAATTTTGTTAAATCAGTTATGTGCTACTTCAGACAATAACTTGACAATGGACTGGCCCGAGTATACGCCAGCAAGCGGCCATCATCAATCCCATTCACACGGATTTGGGCTTTAGGTCACGCAATTCTGAAGACAAGCCATGACACATTCTAAAAGCTACTACACACAGATGTTTCATTGCCTTGCGCGGAAACCATGCTGCTTAATAGACGAAACAGATTAGATGGAAGAAAACTTAACACACCATTGCAAATGTTACAAAAAAAAAAGAACCAGAAAAAAAAAATGGCACATATATGGAAGCAGATTTCAAACAATCAAATTTGCTGTAAAAGAATATCTATTTTTCACACAGGCACCTGTACATGAAACAAGGGGGGGTTTTGAAATATACGAGGAACTTGCATATAATTGGAAGAACTCTACGCACACAGCCACAAAACAACGAGGCCGAACTCGTCACTCACAACTTGGAAGCCTGCATCCTTGAGGTGATTGCACATCCTGAGGATGGAGGGTGGAGGTATGAGCTCCATGTGGTCAGCCTTTACGTTCTCAAGCCCCCCCCACCCCCCATTTGATTTCCCATCTACTCAGCTTCAAGAACCGTTTTTTGGTTTGCAGGCTACAACGCTAAATAATAGTTCTATCTTTATAAATGCATATTGAACATAGCCTCTGAATTAAGTGCTTTAAAAAAAAAAAAAAAAAAAAAAAAGGATACTAGATCCTAGTAGATTAGCGGATTTCCCTGTAGAGGATCGTCCTCTCAACAACAAAAAAAAAAAGGTTTTAAGACTACAGTAACATCACATACCACTCATCTGGATCACCCTGGTTTACACGTAGAGCCTATAGATGCATCCAGCCTGATCTATATGGCAGCATTGGGAACCTGATTATGTCACTCTGGGGTTTTGATCATGGGCAACAAGAACAAATTGAATTGTGAGTTTTGTGTAACTTAGTGACAGATTTTATTTATTTTTTATTTTTTTTATAAACGTGAAGATGGAGATGCTAAGAGGCCAAAATGTCTTAAAACGCCCTCGTTTCCTCATCCACCAGATCCAACACAACTGTTCTTTTTTTAGCCTTTGTTGGTACACACGGCCATCTGGCGCCGCACAATGAGCCAAAAAACAAACAGTTTTAAATAAAGGGCTGACTGAGATAAAACCTGGAAGTTAACGGTCAAGACGACTGGCGTCTGTTCCCACTTTCCCTCTCTGCAAGCGAGCTGCAGCGCTCAGAGAAATGTACTTAAAAACTTAAACCCAGATTGTAGTGACCCGATTAAAAATAAAACACCACTGATGTTAAGCAGGAACAAATCAAGGGAAAAATTGAGAAAATGAACCAAGGATTGCACGATTACAGTCTATTATACGCAGAAAACAGTGGTAAATAAAGAGGAAAACATTTTTAGAGCCCAAAATGACAATAGCACCTTGCATGCTATGACCATTATCCTCAAAAGTATTTGGTGTTTTAGACTCCAAGTCAACATTTCCAATTTGAGAACATTAGATTAAGGGTGACCATTTGGGGGGGGAAGAAAAAAGAAACAAATCTAACATAGTCATGGCTTTATCAACACTACCTGAGTTACATTTAATAATTATTTATCAACTTGTTTTTTTGTGTTTTTTTCTGAAGACTAACAGCCCACAGCCATTCTTTCAAGGAGTATTTCTTGTCAGTACATGTAGATCTATCTAAAAATTAAAAGCAATTAGTTTACATAAAGTGCTATTAATCCACACATTAACCAAATCAGAACTTCTAGAGGAACGAATCCTGGACTATTCCTCCGTTATGTTGAATAAGCCAATCCTGATTTGGAGACAGTGATGAAAGTGTCACAGCTGGCCAGCTAGCAAATGTGGGCTCCCAGATTTAATTGGATCTTTCGACGTGAGGTCATTAGCGAAATTGACTTACGGATTTTGTGCAAACGGAAAATGCATGCAACTTTTTTTAAACCCCACCAGCATCTTGGGTGATTATTTTGTAGCTCCATATAACACATTTTACACATTGTATGGATCACATGGTGTTATTGCACACTGGTCTGCAAATGTTAACATTAAAAACGTAATAGTACAACTCATGTTCACATTTAAACACAGTTTGGCCAGTCGGGAAACGTAGATTAGTATTGCAAGTAATGATGTGTTACTGTTATATTTGAATGGAGATCAACAGTGACCTGGACTCATTCATTCCCACCAGTAAACATGCAACAAAAACAAAAATAACAAAAAACGATTCCATAAAACAGACCAAATGCCGACTCAAGAGATATTTTTTGTTTGTTTTTTTAAATCAATTACAAAAACGCAACATGTTCCTGACAATAGAATTTGAACAGTTTTTAAAGAGGAAAAAAAGCTAAATAATCTGTAAGGACATCCTGAGTCTTGCTGCTGAGGAATTAGCACAAAATGCAGAAGACCTTATTGGTAGAAATGCCTCTGGCTCCTTTCATTCTTCAACTAAAGACAAACCGTTTTGGATTGGGGTGAACTGTGTGTGTGTGTGTGTGTGTGTGTGTGTGTGTGTACATATATGAATCTGAATGCAAGAATACACAGTTACATCCTAATTATCTGCATGAAATGTATGAAAAGCTTTAAGATGAAAAACATTTGGCCTTTAACAGACATGATTTGAAAATCTTTAGCAATAAACATTGAAATGAAGGGGCGTGGCTTTCCTTCGAATTGGGCACTTCTGTACCTGTGCTCTGTGGTCATACTGCAGTGCAGATGACACTCATGTTAGGGCAGAAAAAGTGAGTATAAAAGAAAAGGCGAGCAATTTTTGTCTGGCCTCTGATTTCAACCTACCAAAGAAAAAAAAGGCCTTTTGACAAAGATCTCCCTCTCCAGGATGGGGCCTCACCTGTGAGCTTCCACTTTACAGCTTCATTCCAAACAACTGAACCACAACTTCAAGGCATTCTCTGCAAAGTGTGCTCTCCTTTCGTTCTATAATTCAAGCTTGCACGCGACTGTGTGGGTATAACGGTTAACAGATCTACAATGAACCCATTTGACGGCGTGAAGAAAGAAAATGACGGAGGCATCCCATAGTCAGACTGACAGCCGCCGCAGTTCGACAGGGAAAAGGCTTAGGGCGGTGCATTCCACGACACCTTCCTTTGTTGAACTCCCGAACATCAAGCAAGAGCCAATATCACAGCTCCTAAAGTTTGTATTTGTGTGGTTGGAGAGGCACAGAGAGTCTCCTTTAGCGTCCCTCCAGCGTGTCTGCGTGTTCGTCTGATGCCCCCAAAGAAGTCTGTTATTTCACTGGAGATTCGGTCATGCTAAACGATCAATGTTTTCACAGTTGTCCCTTTATCTGTCCGACAGGATTTATGGTTCCAAAGGAAGAGAATCACAGCTCACAGAAGAGAAGAGGGTAACAACAGTAGACCATCTACCTCACTGATCAGGTCCATCCTTGGTCTCATCATAAAACACTACTCTTTTTGGATCTACAGGGGGGGAAAGACAGTATTAGATTAGTGAAAAGGGTAACTAAATTTAGCCTCTGTTGAGGGATGTTTGGTACAGAGTATGACGTTAAAATGGCCTTGTTGACATTGTTGACGTTGTATCTGCGTTGATTAAAACAGGAGACAAAGGAGAAAAACGAAAGCAGCATGTAGCTGTAGGCTTATGTCTCTGCCTTTTAGTCACAACAAGGTCTTTTCATCTTTTAAAAATGAACTATTATGGGATGCTAGTCCATTATATAAATGGTCTTGCTGAAGGCCTAAATGCAGCCTGTGTGCACCAGTGTTCATTTCGTCGACGAAAACTATGACGAAAAATGTTTGTTAACGAACCTTTTTCCATGACTCAGACGAGACTAAGACGTGACGAAAACGATCTTAAAAAATAAAAACTATGACTAAATCTATTCTAACTTTCGTTAACGAGACGAACATGTTGGTGGTTGACGAAGTCACGATACTTTTCCCCCCTACATTCGCACGCAGTTGACAGGCAACAGACAGGCGAAGTACGGCAGATATTAACGAGTCATGATGACGTCATCCACGAACCCAGAATGCTCGTATCGGTGCAGCGGTGGTTCTTGTGCACCGACTACGGACCGCGACGACTATTTTACGCTTCGGCGAGTTTTTAGCTCAGCTGTCTCGGTTTAGCTGCCTGTTAGCAGGCTGAAGCCGCGCTGCTTCACAGAAACATGAAGACCCGTTTAACAGACTGTCGGACCTTTCTGCTCTGTTCTCTGGCGACGGCAGGCAGCGTTTCCAATAATGTATTGCAGCGATTGTAGGACGTTAAGGGGTCTCTTTTGTTTGATAAGGAGTTTAATATGGCTATTAAATGTGACTAAAACTAGACTAAAACTAATTATATTTTAGTCTAGTTTTCGTCGACAAAAACTAGACTAAAACTAAGAAGGATTAAAATGACTAAATGTGACTAAAACTAATATGCATTTTTCGTCTAAAGACTAAGACTAAATCAAAAATAGCTGCCAAAATTAACACTGGTGTGCACATGCGGCCATGTAGCCAAACTGGAGCAACCCTTATTTTTGTCTAGTGATTTATAGTAAGAGGCAAGTAAGCCTTAGGACTAATCATCATTTCAACCATCTATGGACTACTAGTTGGTCAAAAGTTGTACATTCACTCGCACACAAAGTTAACATAAGTGGACTGGTGAGAAAAAAAGCAGTGAGACAAAAAAGTTAATTTACCTTGTTTTTGCAAGTTGAAAAGGAATTCCATTTCTGTAGAGGGAAAACGCAAATAAAAGCAAAACATGAATATTTGACTGTGCAATACTGTTAAAAAGTGTAATTTAATTAATTTGTCCTACATGGGCAAATCAGATCCCTTGAGATTTGCTTAGTTATAAGTTTCTTGTCAAACAAAAACGGCAGAGCCTGTATTCTCACACTTGATTCAAATTGCTTTTCAGAGGGATAGACGGGAAACTATGCAGCGCGTAATCCAGCGTTAAAGATTGTAACTCTATCTCTATATTTTTCCACTCTGTCGAATACGAGCTGTATTACGTTCCCACTAATCACACCGGACATTTGCCTCGTACTAAAAGCGCTCAGCTGCCATAACACCAGGTGGCTTTTACTGTGAAGCAGAGGTTAGCGCTTATCATAATTGTTCATCAAAAATCTGTCAAATGAATCAACTAACTTTCTCAACTCAATAATGGAACATAAAAACTATCCCCACATTAACTGGAAATTCAATCTAAAGCGTCACAATTTAAATGGCGGTACAAGTTAATTTGACAAATAATAGAAGGTCATAGTTACCTTTAGTGTGATAAGTGACAGCAGCTTTAATATCAAAGGACGCCCAGCTACACCTTCTGCCAATGTCTTTAGAGTGAGCCAGGTGCTTAGATGAGCCAAACAACACAGTGGTCAGCTGGCCCGGAGCAGGCTTAGCACCATTGTCTTTACTGGGAGGCAACACAGCAAAACCTGCACCCTTGGCCTCCACTTTAGTCTTGTCCTGGCCACATGGCTGCAGCTTGTTCTCCTCCTCACTCATCCCACGGGCAGGAGAAAAGGCCTTAGGCACACTGCAGGGGGCACAAGTCCTTCTCTTGGGGTCTTGAGCTAAAGTGCCGAGCTCAAAGAATGATGGGCCATCGAAGCAGGGCAGGGCAGCAGCAGCAGCAGCCTCACACTTGCCCGGCGGTGGGACCACAGCAGTCTTGTCCTCTGCGGGCACCTTTCCACCTGATCCTTCTGGCCCCAAATTGGGCTCATTTATGAAGGAAAGCCCCCACTGATTCTGGAAGATGTCTCCCAAGGCTTTCTGATTTGTCTGAGCAGCCGGCGGGTCGAGGTGACGAGCACTAGGGAGCACAGGTTGCATATTTAAAGGGTAGATTAAAAGGGTTTTTCTAAGCTCGTATGCTTCTCCATCTACAGGACTGGTTGTAGAGCTACAGTTACTTTCCAAAGGACATGCTACATTCTCGCCACTTGGGAAATAGGGGGCTGGTGGGATACTACCAGCAGCAGGAGCAAAGAAGGTACCCACGGAAGGGCAGCAGTTACCGTTTCCAGAAACCGGGCCATTAGTAAAGCTAGCTGAGGTGATGGTTTTCATAGCAGACATGGGGACCTGTGACAGTCTGACCGGAGGAGGCAGTGCCTCTCCTCCGCCTTGAGCTACTTTGTTGAGGTTCTCTTTTACTTTACTTGCATAACTGATCTTAGGAACAATTTTTGCACTGCTATTGTCCACAGGAAATACTGCCAGGGGCTTGAACAAAGTCCACGAGTCCTCTTTTGAAGGGGAGGACGGCTTGGCTTTGTGCCTTTCTTCAGTCTTTTTACCAAAGTTGCCAAGTATTTTGCCCTCAGAGTTCTTCCTCTGAGCTTCACCCGATGATGCCTCTGACACAACAGCCCGTCTGGCTGCCGAGTGAGCTTCTGCTTTATGGCCGGCTCTAAAGCCGTCGAGTCTAGAAGTCACTCCCTTGTCAGTCCCCTCAAGATGAAAAGCCTCATGTTCTTGAGTACTGCTTCCCTGCTGCATGTCTTTCTCCTTGTCTTTTAGCACATTATCAGTGTTCTTTGCGTTGTTACATCTGGCTTTACGCTTTTTTGGAGTAGTATATCCACCTTCGGAGCCACTGCCATCATTGTCCTTGCTGTAGTAGCCATTTGTAATCAAGCCACAATTTACGACGCCATTTTGAAGCGACACAGGGTCGTTCTTATTCGTAGGTTGGCCCTCATGATGATTCAACTCCAGAACCTTTTCCTTGTCATTTCTAAGGTCCATATTCTTCTTAAGGTCCAATCCTTTGCTGCTCACTTTTGAAACAGTCGCGTAAGGCTTTGGCGTCGATTTCTGCTTCACATTTGCATGACTTGTGTGTCGGTTACAGTGGCTGCTGGGGCCATGAGACAGACCAACAGTGTCAGAGAGACGCGGATTCTTTTCCCACTCCTCCTCACGGACGTTCACTTTTTTAATGCCTGAAATGGGAAAGAAAATATGACCATCCCTTACTGAAGTATGCAGAAACCTCCCGAAAGTACATTTTCAAAATATTCTGTGTCAATTAATTTGACCTTTAGCCACAAATTAGAAGTCATGCAAAATATAATTGTTAGTTACGTATTTTTAATGCAACCATGAGTAATATAAGAAACTGATTAGCATGCTCTACCTGTCATACCTCTAATAATCCAAGTTCAAATTATCGGCATCATTCACAATCTAGATTCAAATGTCTGCTTTGCACATTGCATTTGACATGCTAGTTTAAGCGAAGCACAAATGTGGAACTTAAAGTTTGATTATAGTCAACCTTTGTATTTTCTAATAAAGCATTGCAGCAGTGTTGAGAAAGAAAATTTGTATCCCAAACTGAGATATTCAGGATTTGAGTCACTGTTAGTTTACGCAGGTTGCGTTACCTGAACCTGCATCCAACACGTGTGTATTTTTAACACGGTACACACATACATTATGCCTCATTAATGTTTACCACATAATGGACTGTTACCCGTTGACTTTCCATGATGATCCAACATCAGAGACCAGTTGCACCAAGATGTAAATGGAGGGCTCACGGCAGCATGTGTGACAGACATCTGGACAGCACCCCTGAACCACAAATAGGCCTTTGCATCGAAGACGCACTGCTGTGTCAACGTGGGCCTTTAAAATAAATAGGGCTGCCCCTCACGTCCGTGGACTCACAAGCCGCTGCATACAGCCCCTCCTCACTTAATGTGCATGTATGGGCTCGTTTTCACGGACGTAACGTCAACTGCGAGCAGACGGGAGGCCGACGCTTACGACCACACCGTCTGCGCAGCTGGTATCAAACGGGAACCGGGTTGTTGCGTGGCTCCACTTTGACCGGACGACATGCAACAGGCCTGTCACAGACGGCTAGCATTAGCTAGCTAACATCAAGCTAGCGGTCGACTCGTTAAAAAACGCCACGGCGCCAAGAGTGGCTTAATGTGGCGAAAGAGAGCGGCCTAACGTCTACGAACCAGGTTTGTAAACTACGTCAACGACGCGTCAGGGTTGCAAAGAACTTTAGTGATTGAAACGTGATTTAATAGACTGGTAAATAGCATTAGCTCGCAGTGGTACTCTTAACATGGCCGACAGGAAATGGCAGCTCCGAACATTCCAGTGGAGCCGGCTCGCTCTCCTAAACTGGACAGAAGCACGCTGAAATGAATGATTCAAATCTGACTACGGAAAGCGATTCCCCGTGCGGGCACAACAGTGTCCGCGTTTTTAAGAACACACAGTGACCCAAGGAGATTTTCTGACAGTATTTTGTTGCATTTGCGAGATACAAATTGGCTGGTGAAACCGGCGCACAAGGTCAATCCCCTATATGTCAAAGCACCACCAGCGACAACTGTCACGCAACGTCAGCTAGCCGACTAGCTAGCCCGCTAGCTAGCTAACCTAACGGCTGGATTCTGCTCCGACAGCGGCCAACTATCGGTTTAAATCAGGAAGCTACTCGCCCTCCACAGCGCGCCGTGAACTACCCGGAGCAAATGCGTGCGGTTTAAAATTAAAAGTCAACTCTCACACTACGCGCTCAGTCACATTGGCGATAACGCTAGTTAGCCGATGCTAGTTTGCTCGTTAACTTAGCTGACTAAGCCTAGCATGCGTTAGCTCACTTTTCCGGATGGCCCAACCTGTTTTCTTCGTCTGCGTTTCCTGATGCTGGCGCTGGAAGTGGCTCTGATCATGTTTTAGACAAGTTGTATGTTGAATAGAGTGTCTGTCCCCTCCGTGGTGGTGATGTTGCCTGTCTTGTGCCCGATCTCTGGGCTGTTCCTCCATCGAGGTGTAGAACGCCGGACTAGTTCAACCAGTGCGTTAGCTCACGGGGTCCAATCACTACCAGCGTGGGACGGAAGCTATTTGAAGCCTCTGTAAACGTCAGCAGTGTACGTCTAAAAATGGCACTATTTGGGGTTGTCAAATGCCGTGTCTGCTATGTATACAGTTACGCGGATTTTATTTTTGCACTTCTTTTAGATTTAGGCAGATGTCTCACGTGACACACAAACAACGGACAAGTGGTTTAAAATCTATATCTTCTCTGTGCGGGCAAAAGCGGGGTGGGGTTGGTGTGAAATCATATGCCCGGAGGCGCTGCCACGTCCCCAAGAGGAGGACACACGTGCGGAGGATCCTGGGGACACAGGGCCCACTCCCTAAATGGGAAACACGATTTATTGCATATTAAATGTATCATTCAATGATTCCAGTTCACGTCAAGTATTTAATATCTTCTACTTGACGAAAGAACAAAACGGCACTGTTACTATTTTTAAGAGTTTCTTTTGTTTTGGTATTCTATACTATGAGATACTTGTATGACATATATCGTTTTTTTACGATAAATTCGGCAAAGGCATTTTTTATGGCAATAAATAATATACTGCAAGTGACTTTTTTAAATTGAAATGTCAACACTGTGACAAACAACACTATGACGTTGTATGACATTCTACGCTATCTGTTTTTAAATAATATTTTTCATGACATATTGTACTGTAACTTTTTTTACATTTGACTTATGTTGTATCTTACATATTATATTACAATACATAATATAAAACTGTCTGCATTAATATTTCCGTCATCAGCCAAGCTCGCTTAATATTATGGGTGAGCAGTCGTGATCAAGGATCTCTTAGAAGAATCCCCTTTTAAAATCTAGTTTATGCTGTCAATGGCATACTATGAGTGCATTGCAGACCCCCGGCCATTTGTTTTTTGGATACGTAATATAAAATGTCTTGTGCATGAATTTGAAGTCTTTGTATTTGAGTTTCAATCAAGTCTGTTTTATGACATCTTTCAGTCTATTGGTGTCTAAACAGGTGGTTTGTGCAATATTTACATTCAACACAGGAATGGTTGCAGACACCTGACACAGATCTTTGTAGTCCTGAAGTTGTTTTCCATGGCACTCTATATAACAACTTTTTTTCAATTGAATTTTATGGCATACTATATTATGCCTTTTGTATTCTTGTATTCTAATGTTTTTTTGTAACATACATTTTTTTCCGCTGCCCTGTAGTCCCAGTTTGCAGCTGATGGCCACTGGGGGGTTCTACTGGACCAGTTTGGTTAAGGCTACATGCAGAGACAAGAGAACAATACTCTGTATGTTATGTGTGTAATGTTCCCTCCAAAATGTCCGTGACACCATTTAGTCAAAGCTGCAGGCTGCAGCTGATCCATTCAGTTCTAAACAGTTGTACTCAAAAGTAAAATAATGTCAATAATACCAATATGTAACTGATGAAATTTCTTAATAAAAGAATGACTGCTTTCTTTTTTTATTTGAAGAGCTTGGTCTTGAAGAAAAGACCATATTGTAGAGTTTATGTACTGTTATTCATACAAACCGGGTTGTAAACTGAGATAATACGTTTACCAGTCTGCTCATTCCCCCTTATACAATATAATAATAGATTCAGACACAAAACACTCCCTATTGCTGGAGGTTTTTGTTTTTTTCTTAGGTGCTATTTTTGCCATTTGTTCAATCTTGTTATGTCAATCTCTCGGGTTAAAGGACACGAGATTGCCAAAACTGCAGACGAGGAGACATCTCATCCTAGAACGCGGACACAGCAGCGGATATCCCGGTTCCAAGGACAGGAAGACTGCTCTTCCTCTACCCACCCCCTCTGACATTGACATACACATACAAACAATCTGTGGCATTGTTAATGACAAAACCACCCGTTGATTTTTTTTTTACCCACTGTTGCCATTGAGTCTTTGATCATTTTTCTTGTACAAACAGCTAAAATGCCCTTATTCTGTCCGGGGAGAACATATCTACCCTTGTGATGAAATAGTAAACAAACTAAATGAAAGCTTCATATGAAAATACTCCCACTTTGAACTGAGGCTCTCTGGTTTCTTATCAGTCCCATGATAGACTCTCTTCCCCCACCAAATTAGCCAATACACACACACACCCTCCCTACCCCCCACAATCCTCATTTCCTTATGTTTTCTGAAAGCGGAGCTGTTTTTCATCACAAGGTCAAGGGGCCAATCTTAAGTAACTCTGGCTTGCCCTTTTACTTCTTACCTCAGAGCTTTGTGCTTTTGCAGTAGTTGAGTGGTGCTCTCTTATTGTCCACACCCTCCTTAGCCGTAGTGCAGCATATTATGATGCAGTGTAGCATGGCCTGCCTCTTGTATTACAGGATAAAATCCACAAAATGGGGTTACTGGCAGTTTTTTTTGTTTATATTTAAACAAATATTACATTCATATTTTTGCACAAACAGCAAAATTAAACCAACTCCGTTGTTCTGGATTTTGAAACACACCGTATCAGTTCTTGACAGGGGAGAAGAGAAAGTGCTCGGTGAGGGTGTAAAGTGTTGAGGGTTGGGCAGCATAACCCGACTCCTCTAACCTATCCAAATAAACACTCTTCCTCCCTCCCCCAAGTTTCAGGGGTTATCACATAAACCCCCACAATGCCCCCTGCCCAGACACCAAAAGGAGCCGTTAACACAGCCCAGCCTGCTTTTCTGTGCGAGGCAACACAGGATACACACACACACATATGCATACACGCGTAAGCACTCACGCATTCAATCATATCTCAAACTGGAGTCGGAGTGAGGAAACAGAATGTCAGGGAAGGAAGCGCTGAAGCCAGTGGGAAAGCCAAAATTGCCTCGGGTCCACGGAGTTCTTTTTTTATCCACTTTACCGGAGGTCTGAAGAAGTCTGGATTTATAAAAGTAAACAAAAAAAATTGTTGGAATCTTTGGAAATCGGCCAGCTCATAAACAGATTTTAGATTAGTAGAAGTAGTAGAAACGTCCCTTGGATCCCACTCTCAGGGTCTGGATTTCTAAGCAGAAGGAAATTCTTGAAATTCTCTTTGTCTCGGACCACTCACCGGTCTCAAGGTATTCTCAAGGAGTCTCATCATCTGCGTCCACCAAAGTGCTGCAGGGACACACATCCTGAAGCAACATTGAAGTGAGTACAACAAAGGGATTGCTTTTTAAACTCAAAAGTATGTTTGAAAAAACAGAAAATCGACAATCCTGCCCTAATAAGAGGGCTCTGTTTACTTAGGGTGCGCAGTACATTATTGTAAGAGAAGTTTTCCTCAGTCATTTTATTCTTGGGATTATAAAGACTTATTTTTGATATCTGAAATTGATCAATCCAATCAAACAATCCAAGCCAGTGGTTGAGCTGCTCGTTGATCCTAAAGAAGGCAGACTTTGCTTCGCTAACAAACAGAACATATTACAAATAAGAAGAAGTTTAAAAATGTTCTTTGTGTTCTTCGGGATTGTTGCCGAACATATAAATGAGCAGGACACCTTTAAAATGAGATAGTATTGCTATTTATGCAATCTAGCAAACAATAAACCATCACAAAATACACAAATTGTAAAAACAAGAAATGAGCAAGAATCCTGTTATATTTTTCCTTTAAGGAGCAGAAGAAGGTGATCTGAAAATGGAAGTAGATTCGTATGAATTAATGAAACCGTAACTAGAATACTTGAAATTAAATTAAAGAAATTTTTCTGATAAATGAAATATTGCTTAATACAGCCATGTGTTCAATGGTAATTGTCATAATATCAGTAGCTGCTAACACACTTAAGAGCAGAAGGAAATGGATTGTGGGAATCTTACTTACTGAGCTTGAAAAATAAAGATGAATGGGGAAAAGACATGGAAATAAAAGCAAGTATGTTACCATACTGTGCCATATCAAAAAAGTTGTAGTACAGTATTTGCACTTCAAAGTGTTTTTTTTTAATGACTTATTAGTGATTAGAGGTACTTTTTCAGTTTTCCAGCTGTTCCTGGCTCATTGTTCTGGGTGGGGATTGGAGGTGGGGTCGGTGGAGCTCCATTTCCTTGCACTTAGAGGTGGGGATTTATCTATGTTGACTTTCCACCTCTCAACACATATCAAAATACTTAAGAATTCAGGGTGTACGGGGAAGAGAAGAAAGTAGTACAACAGAAATACATACAGACACTTTTATACATATGTTGATAGTATGATAGTTACATGTTAATGATCTAAAACTGTTTTTCTGTCTTGCTGCAGAGACCACAGCAAAAGATGAGTCTTTCACGGAACGGAACGCTGGAGAAGACGGTATCTGAGCAGGCCCTTTCTGAGGGGCGCTCCCCCTCCAGGGTGGGGTCAGGAGTCGTGGTGCCACCTCCGTACTCTCTGGGCGGCAGCGAAGACGCTGACGCCCCTTTAGAGTTAAGGGGCTCTCTGGACTGCTGGGCGTGCTCTGTGCTGGTCACTGTACAGAATCTAATCATTGCACTGATCAATGGCGGGCTGGCCAGCATCATTTTTGGCACCATCCTCACCCCCGCCCTTGCCATGATCATTTTTGGCTTCCTCTGCCACTCTACGGTGACTATCTTTTGTGTTTGTTTGTTTTTTCTAACTGGGAAGGAGAAGGATTGAAAAGTAGCAGATCACACTAGTGCTGTGTCCGAGTCCAAGCATGCTGATAACGAATGAAAAGTGACACATGAAACTATCATTTCGTGTGCATGTGCGTGCCCCCCTCCTCCCCCATACATGAACTCATCCGTTTCCCCCCCACCTCTGGCCCTCCAGGTGCAGCCCCACGGCACATCTCTGTACTGCTCAGACGTGCTGGATGACGCCGGCTGCGTGGCTCTGCTGGTTGTGGGATTTCTGCTGCTCACCCCTCTGCTGGTCCTGGCCCTCGCTGCCTACTGTCGCCTGGCGCGCCACCTTCAGCTCGGAATGTGCTTCATTCCCTACAGCCGGGCGGTCTACAAGAACCTTCCTGCCTCACGCCACCGAAGGGCTGATGCAGGAGGCTGCTGTGGCCAGCAGGGCACTTCAGAGAGGAAGGGGAAGGGTAGCGTGTGGGTTTAGGAGAGGAGGGGGGGATTTTATATGATTGTAATTTGTATTTCTTTTTTTACGATGAGAGTTGGGTTGTTTGAGTCTGGGTATGTTCTATGCAAAATACCACAGCTTTCTCTAAAGAATTTGTAGACGGCCAACATATTTCAGAATTTACTGTGATTGTTTGAAAGTCCACATGGTTTTCTACACGCAATTTCAAAGCTTTGATTGTATTTTATACCTTCTTTTAACAATAAAATGTCACTTGACACACTAAATTGTTTTATGGAGAGAATAGCAAACTGACACTGAAGGGACTTTAAACTTAATTTACGAAAGAATTATGAAGTTTAAATGACTAAAGAAGTGAACTGAGTAGGGTAAAGAGATACAAGATTTGTGTCCCACACAAACCCTAATTTGCATCGGGGAAAAAAATAATTGAATAGGCCAAGATCACATTAGTGTTACAGCCGGCCCCAAAGGCTGCAAAAAGGTAGACAAGTACAAGAATAACAGAAAGAAATAAATGGTCTAAGTGGTAAATCTATATTGCTTTAACCACCACAGGATTAACTGTGGTTCATCAGCTGATCTTCATCCTGATGGACAGAGATGGACCAGCAAAGAAGACACTGACACCTAGTGGGATGGAGGGGACGTAACTCCCGCCGCCATTAAAGTGGTGGTCCTTCCAAGAATACCAACGTACTCACTTTTTTTACTCGTACTTTTACTTTAGATAAATATAAAACTAGATTCATCAACACATAACATAAACTAAACACAAAAAGCATGGAGAGTTTGCAATCAGTCATGTCTGCAGATATGTGTCGCTGAACAGCAGCCGTGTGGGGCACGGATGAGGGGTCTGTGTTGAGGTGGTAAGTCTTTGAAGCTTGAACCAAACTAAGTCATGGTGTTACTCATCAACTAATCAACAGAGAAAAGTGCAGCAGACCCTAAGAGAAAAGGGGAGGGGAGGGGAGGGGAGGGGGAGGGGGGGGGGGGGGGGGTTGTAACAATAGCATATCAAAGAAATACCTACCATAGTATTCTAAAGAATACATTAAAATGTCATTTCAAAGCACATTTTAAACATATAATAAATAATGTATGTTGTAAAAAGCAAAAGACATTATACAATATTTAAAGTCCTAGTATACACGTCAAAAATAGTGATAGAATGGCATGGAGAATAAAGTCATAAAAGTTCTAGGAATCTGTTGAGCAAAAAAGTTAGAGAAAGAGAATATTATTGCACATTAATAAAATGTGCCGAAAGAGTCAAAACAATTCAAAGAATCGTATGTTAAATGAAGTCATGGAGGAAGTCAGGTCAAAAAGATAAAGTTCAAAGTAAAAATTTAAACATAATTAAATAGTAAATAAAAATATATTAAAAAAGTTATGGTACAGTATGTAAAAAATCTTCTTGCAGTCTTTTTTGAGAAAAATAGCACAGTAAAGTATGAGGGACAAGGTAATAAAATGTCAATAAAGAGCAACACATTATGTAACAATAATACATATAATACATTACACTATTACTGTACTGCATACAATTGTATAAATATTGGTAAAAAAAGTCACACCATATCCAGAACAAATGTTATAAAAATCATATTGTGTTGAATGTCAAAGAAATGTCAGAATAATATTAAAAAGCGAGCTAGTGGGCAGCTACATAATTTGTCCATTTTGCAGGGGCGAAACGAGGTAAAGAGTCATTACATAACAATAAATCTGGCATATAGTAAGCAAAAGGTAGTATAGTATGTTAAAAAGTAATGTCAATAATATTGTTTGTAAAAAAGTGTAGTATACACCAAAACAAGTCATAGAAATTCAAAAGTATAGTTAGATCAAAGAAATATAACATAATAATAATTGAGAAAATATAACATATTACAACATTGTCACAGGGTGAGGTCAAGTTGGGTTTTTGTCGGCATGTTTTGGTCTTGTCATTTCCGTTTTATTTTGAAAGTAGTAACCTTCCTCTCGTTTCAGGTCACTTGCCCTTCCTCATGTCACCAGTCGAATCGTCTCCCCTGATTCCTGATTGTGTCCACCTGTTTCCCATTACCCTCATGTGTCTTATAGTCTGCGTCTCCCTTTGTCTTGTGCCTGAGTGTACCACCGTGCGATCACCCAAGCCTCGCCACAGCCACAGGATTTGTTAATACCATTGCCTTGTCTCGGAATGATTTCCCCTTTATGTTTTTTCCTCTGAGTAAGAGTGACCTTTGTTGGAGCTTCTTAGTTTTAGTTTTAGCGCGCTTTCGAAGCCGTTCGTTTTCCTCGTTTAAGAGAGATTTTAGTTTGTTAACTTTCGTCGGAAACGCTGATAGCTCATAGCCGTTTGTTTTTTTTTTCACGACGCGAATAAAGACGCCAAACCTCTGCATCTGAGTCCTCATTTTTATCTGGTCCTGACAAATATCAGTTGAATAATGATCTTAATCTCACTTATCTTTCTTACTCATCATATTTATTTATTTTTATAGATATTTATGTTCAGCCGTATACATTACGTATATTGTTTGGTCCTTTGTGTTTGTTCAAGGGTATTTGAAATAATATTTATGTGGCTACAGATAGCAGAACCTGACACATTGTGGGTAGACTAGATTAGTGGTCGAGTCATATCAAAGGATTTAAAATAATTTAAAACCAAACAAAAATAGTATTAGCAATAATTTAACTAAAGTGCTATTACACTTTAAATCCACTAGTCGGAAACAAAGATACAGTTGGAGAATGCTGAGATTCAGTTCTGAGTTCTGAAAAAGAATGCTACCAGACCATATGAAAGAGATACAAAAACCTTTATTGATATATAAATTACAAACATTAGGTTTGGCAGTTGTTTGAATAAAATAATTTTTATTCTTTTAAATTGGTGGATTACACTGAAGGGAAATTCTTACTGTAATATTGTGCAATAATAGATTTTTACTTCACAGTGTGATTTCTGCCATCATATGTCATCTGAATTTCCCAGCCTTGAAAGATGTGCGAGGTTAACAGGGTTGTTGGCTGACATTCATTAATAATCTTTCATGTTGGGCTTTATATGGAGCTGTGAATGCACCAGGTTTCAGGGTGCCACGTCCTTCTTCATCCACCTGTCCCATGATAATGTAATCGGCACCTAAAAGAACGAAAGAGCAAACAGAAATAGTGATTTGTATATATACCTTTGAGTGAATGGACATACTAATACTCTGTGGTGTATGTGTATGTAAATCCAAGATACCTTTGCTGAGAAACGGGCAGTTCCTGCACTGTGACACGAGCTTAACAGACACGGTCTCTCCGACCGGGGTCATTGTTAGTCCTCCTGCTTTGTAGACCCTAATGAGGGTGATGCCGATACGAAAAGTACCTTGTTGGCGGGCAAGAGAGGTCACCTTACCAGTGATCACTGCGAGAAAGAAGAGCTCAGTGAGAACACAGCATTGTATTAGTTACTTGTTGCATCACGCAAATGGGGATGAAACTCACCAAATTCACTGGCACAGAAACTGGACTGGATTTTTCCATCTCTTTTACATGCTTTGGCACAAACGGAGTTTTGAGGGACTAAAAACACAAATAGTGCCAAACAAATGAACATTAGATACACTTCTTCCACACATTGAAACGCAAGTGTAGCCTGCAGATAGCTTCACCCACCAGGCTTCTTCCCATTTGGCGTAGTGACAGGTGGCCTCCTGTCCTGGCCTGTGGTGCCCTGTCCACGGCCTCTCGTGGGTTTGACAGGTTTTGGTTTCCTGGTGGGCTCAGGTGGCACATATTTGGCAGTGGGGACCGGTGGCTTTATGGTGGCGGCAGGTAGGGCTGCAGGTTTTGAGGGGATGGACCCTGTACCGGCTGCTGAGTTGAATGTCAGTATCTGAGGAGCACCTGGCACGCTGGTATAGTGGGCGAGGAATCCATCGGACGTCACACTTGAGTCGGACACAAACTGGACGATCAGCACGTTGCCACTGCTGGTGATCGGCCTGCAAAGAAGACAAGTACAAGATGAGGTGAAAAATGTAAAAAAAAAACTGTCAATTTTAAAATAAGTTTAGAGGCAAACTAAGACCTTCATGAATCTCTGAAACTTACTGTGGGGCCTGATCGCCACAGTATTTCCCGATTAGGCTTGTATCATCTGCTCCACCGTTAAAGAATGCAACATAGTCGAACCGACAATACGTGTCAGTCTCCAAGACAAACTTGTCGAACTTCACCTGAATTACCTGGTTCCCAAACAGAAAGAAAAATATCATGTCACCCAATCACTTAAACTGTTTATTTCTATGTTGGGGGCGTTGAGACTTGACAATGTTTCCGGTCGGGGAGTGGGTGGGCTGCCGACCATTCCAGGGTCCACAATGACGAGCCAGGAGCAGCTGGTCGATGCAGGGTATTTGTTGTCAGGCCAGTTGGGCGTCTTGATCTCACCCTGAGCTTTTGTCATCTTTGACCCACAGAACTGCTGGTCTGAAACAAATAATAATAAAAAAATAAGACAAACCAACATTTTTACTTTAAAGTCAAAGATCAAAAGAGTCAAAAGTATACTTAAAGGAAATACTCACAGGCCTGTGCACCTTTCTCCCACTTATAGTATCAGTTTTTACGTGTACAATTAACCTGCTCCTTTGGGCTTTTGTATTATTTAACAACAGCAGAAATTACAGAGCTAAGAGTAAATCCAAAACTTATAGTTTACATTTGTTCCCCCCCCTCCCATTGGGCACTAATGCGTTACTCCGAGTGAAGCACAGGCGCTCCTTTGCTGCGTGACAACAGTAAGCCCATCCAGGATGAACATATTTGTCTACGTGATATGAAATGTCATTTAAAAATAACATACCATCGACATACGGTTTGGCTCCACTGAAATACGCCAAAAACCCTTTGCCCTGCGTCGCTTCATCTGACACCATCTCCAGCGTAATGGTGTTTGTGGTAGAAATGAGAGAACCGGGCCGACGAGTTCCACAGAGGCGATTTAGTTTTTGCATCTGGTTGGATTGACCGTTGTAGACGTCCAGATAGTCGTACCGGCATCGGGGGTCAGTCTCCAGGTCAAAAGCGCGGAAAGAGAGCATGACCACGTTTTCCTCCGGGACCTGGAGACCCAGAGAAGTGGAAATGAGTCAGACACCGAGGCAGGAGTCAGCATGAAGACGGGTCACAGGGAGAGTGACTCACGGTGATACGCCAGGTACATTTGCTGTTGGGTTTGTAGAATCTTGGGAAGCCCTCACTGCCAACG